TGAGGGGGGGAGGAGTTCATTTCACACGTAGGACTTGTACAGTGGTTCTCAGACTGTAGTTCACACACACACACCAGTGGTGGTATTTGGGCTCCCTCTAGTGGTACATGATGGAATCTGAATCACGGCTCCAGTCGTGTTTTCATGTTTATAGTTTTATTTTTATTGTTGTTTTATTGAACCGTGTCTGAACAGGATGTTGTGACTAAAACAACTTCCTGTATTTTCAGGGTTTGGTCACATGTTAAATACGCGGTGAGGACAACGTTTGAACACAAACAAAAACAACGTTAATTTACAGAAAATAAGGAGTTCAACGTGTTGTGGAGGACGATCTTTGACCTTTGACACCAGGTCACGACCTGCTTCTTTGTCTGATCTCATGGTTCTAGATCAGAACCTGTTGATGATCAGATGTTCCGTTTAACTTCAGTACAAAATGTGATGTTTGGTCAAAGGTCAAAGGTCACACAGCTCAACACGTGACAAAGATATGGAGATGGAGACAGAGACCAGTCTGAACTGGTTTTAGTCATAAAACATCTGTCCTAGAACTTTTGGACTCAGTCGTCCCTGAACTGAACACCGTGGACAAACGTTTCCTGTTAAATAAACAATTGATCGAGTGATTGATCGATCGATTCATATTTTAATATTTAGTTTCAGAATTTCAAGTGTCTCCACCCCCGTCCTTCGTCTTCATGACGTCATTCAGAGCTACCTGGTGTTTTACTGACATCTAGAGGCCAGGTTGAGAAACGACGTTTGGTTTTGTTTTTTTTTAGATTTGGCCGCATCGGTCGTCTGGTGACTCGTGCCGCCTTCCACTCCAAGAAGGTGGAGATCGTGGCCATCAACGACCCCTTCATCGACCTGGAGTACATGGTAAGAAGATTCCACTGCTTTCATGAAGTCTCTTGGATAATAGTGCCACCTACAGGAGGAGTAGTGGATTAAAAAAGAAGTTTACTTCCTCAAAATTAAGTTACTTTAAATGATTAATTCTAATTATATTTCTTTGAATTGTAAATGAAATGGTTTGATTTGAGCACCTGTTGTTGTGCCTGTGTTGCTCATGAGAATTGAACCCCTGCCCAGGTCTACATGTTCAAATACGACTCCACCCACGGTCCCTACAAGGGTGAGGTCAAGGCAGAGGGAGGCAAGCTGGTCATCGATGGTCATCAGATCAGTGTCTTCCACGAGTGAGTGAACGCAACACACACGCAGTGATTTAAAAAAACAACCATGTAAAAACCTCGACTTTTCCTGACGTTCCCTGGTGTCTCTCTGCAGGAGGGACCCGGTCAACATCAAGTGGGGCGATGCCGGTGCCCAGTACGTGGTGGAGTCCACTGGTGTCTTCACCACCATCGAGAAGGCATCTGTGAGTGACAGAAAGATTCTGCACCGTAGTCGAAAAGTTCCACACAGATCTAATCTGATTTCAATCACGTTTCAGTCTCACCTGAAGGGCGGCGCCAAGAGAGTCATCATCTCTGCCCCCAGCGCTGACGCTCCCATGTTTGTCATGGGGGTCAACCATGAGAAATATGACAAATCTCTTCAGGTGGTCAGGTGAGAAGAGGACGGAGTGGTGTGAGATCTGGACTCAGATCCAGTCCTGACTTTTTTTTTTTCTCACCCACAGCAACGCCTCCTGCACCACCAACTGCCTGGCTCCTCTGGCCAAGGTCATCAACGACAACTTTGGAATCATTGAGGGTCTGATGGTGAGGACCGGCGCTCCTGAGGGCGATTGGTCAGAAACATGTGTTTGGGTTTTGATCTAATTAACTCTTTGTTCTCCAGAGCACCGTCCACGCCATCACTGCCACCCAGAAGACCGTGGACGGACCTTCTGGAAAACTGTGGAGGGACGGCCGCGGTGCCAGCCAGAACATCATCCCTGCCTCCACTGGTGCTGCCAAGGCTGTTGGCAAGGTCATCCCTGAGCTCAACGGGTCAGTAGCCAATGAGATTACAGCAGCGTGAACGTGTAAATCGAGCATCAAATCACATCATCGGAACGCACGGCGGTGACGATGAGGCCCAGACGAACAAGGACGGAGAGTCGGAGACCTGAGGACTGAATATCTGGGATTTAGTCCTCATGGGTCTTATCACGGGGGGGGGGGGAGAATCAAAAGATTGTTTTTATTTTTAGTTGTTAAGACCGTCTGTATGTTCATACTCCACAGAAAACTGACCGGCATGGCCTTCCGTGTCCCCACCCCCAACGTGTCAGTGGTCGACCTCACTGTCCGTTTGGAGAAACCCGTAAGTCTTTTTTTCTTTTTTTTTTTACATGATTTAGGTTGATTTTAATGGCTGTTGATTAAAAAAAAAACTTTTTGTTTACTGGACATTTTTAGATGATTTTTAGACAAAACTCTAATCACCCTGTCGCCCCCTACAGGCCAAATATGACGACATCAAGAAGGTTGTGAAGGCTGCAGCTGAAGGACCCTTGAAGGGCATTCTGGGATACACTGACCACCAGGTTTGTGGAAACAGAAGAGCTAAAAATGTTAAAATGTGCACCACGTTAATTAACGTTTTAATTAACTTCTTCCTGTTTGATCAGAAATCCCAAAAACTCTCTCTACTTTCTCTTCGACCCCCTGCAGGTGGTCTCCACAGACTTCAACGGTGACTGCCGCTCCTCCATCTTTGATGCTGGTGCCGGCATCGCCCTCAATGACCACTTTGTCAAACTGGTCACATGGTATGTGCATCATCCAATCAGAAGTGTGATTTCCTCTGGGTAAAAAACTGATTTTGTTTTTTTCTTCTCTCTCTCTCCTGCTCCTCACTCCACCAGGTACGACAACGAGGTCGGCTACAGCAACCGTGTCTGCGACCTCATGGCCCACATGGCCTCCAAGGAGTAAAGACCGCGGCCCGCCACGCTCCCGTCCATGCTGCCACACTGGCGTTCTCGGAGTTATAACTGTGATACAATAGGACTTTGTATTATTTATAACTTTGTCTGTGGGAAGGTCATACAGATGACAACAAAAAAATCAAATTTGGTGACCAAGTTTTTTTTTTATCTGTCCTGTTCTTGTGAGAGGAAGTGAAGGTGTGAGTGAGTCTGTAGCACTGATCTACTGCAGTCAGCGGTGGAATAAAGTCCTCTGTTTGTGAGAGTCATGACTGCCTTTGTCTCTTCATTACACACACACACCACACACACACCAAACACACACGTGTGTGTGAATATATTGACGTTCATATCTGCTCCAGTTACGTTGCCTTCAGGTGACTAACCTGATTTTGGGAGAATATTCTATCGACGTGAGTCTGAAGCTTTTTACAGATTAAAAAACTGCAGCGGCTATAAATTACCCCCCCTCCCTCCTCGACTCCCTCCTTCCTCGTCCCCCCTCATCACATTTTTCCTCATTGATCCATTTTTATTGTGGTTGTCAAAACACACAAACTCGATTATTTAAAGGAAGCCTTTATTAAATAACACTCGACTCAGTGACACAACATGTTTCTAAGGTTCTATCTGATTATAATTAGAACCAAAAAAAAAGTCATTTGTTTTGTTTTTCTGTAGACACACAACAGAACGTGTCCTCTGTGTTTGAGGACAGCACAGCTCGGCCAAGAGGGGGTTCAGATCCGGAGGGTGACAGGGTCCGACAAGCCCCGCCCCTGCACCACTGTACCACCACCACTAGGTTACTGTTTGTCCAGTGATGTTTCCCTGTAGATTCTCACTGGCAGCTATATATAGGGAATAACTATGTGGAGTAGGTGAAGTGGAACAGCTGACCGGAGCAACTGTTTATTCTCTATGATATTAAATGACAAACTCGACTAACACCGTGCTCTGTCTTTGTCTATTAACGTTTACAACCACGAATTCAGCTCCGTCCACACAAAACACGATGAAAATTAAAAATCCAAAAGTAGTTTCTTTACAACAGTCGTCAAAATAATCTAAATAAAATCAATAAATTTTGTCACAAAATATAAAAAAAGCCTTTTTTGTTTTCGTTTAGTGGCGGTAAACGTATTTTAATAAATTACAAAAAAAAAAAAACTCTAATTCCGACTGTAACGAACACGGTTAAAGTCAAGTGAACAGAACGGAAATGACGTACTCCTGTGTGAGATCACTGCCGTAAATCACCGAACAGAACAGTTGCAGTGAACGCATGAGTGAGCATCTATTCTGGTCGTTACGGTAACTGTGCTGCACCTGCTCCGCTCTCTGCTCTCTCACTGCTAAAACCTCCATCGACGCGGTCGCCTCGCGTTTCTGTTGTTTATCCTCGTTCTGTCGCTTTTTTCTCATTAACACTCGTTTGTTTTAGTGCAGAGTGAAACAGGCGGCCGTCGCCTCGTCTTCCGGTCCACTCGTGGGAGGTTTTTAAATCACTGACCTCCGGAGAACAGCCACATCCACGGACGCCCAGACGAGTGAGCTTTAAGGATAAAGATTGTTATTTTCGACTGCGTTACGTCATCAGGTGACCGCCGCCGTCGACCTGGTTCGTTTTTCACCGCTGATTATTATTCACCCACTTTTTTTTCCATTCTGTGGTAACGAGTCGTTTTCAGTCCGTGTTCATGCCAGATCTGCAGCGCTTCAGTTTTCCATACCATAGCATGAATCCTTTGTTGGGGGCCACGGCGCATCTCCAACAGCATCCTCAGCAGATCCACTCCCCCGGACACCCCGACTCTCCCTCAGGCCTCCTCGGCGACACCGTGTTCGTTGGGTCCGATCCCGCGTCCATTCTGCTGGTTGAACACACGGGCTTGGGGCCTGAGCAGCCGGGGCCTGACTTCACCGCACCCGCACACACCTCACCGTATCTGCACCATAACAACCACAGTCTGTACCAGCACCGCTCCGCGTCACACCCTCCCGCAGCCATGGCTCTCAGAAACGACCTGGGCTCCAACATCAGCGTCCTCAAAACTCTCAACCTGAGGTTCCGGTGCTTTTTGGCCAAAGTGCACGAACTGGAGCGAAGAAATAAGATCCTGGAGAAGCAGCTGCAGCAGGCGCTGGACGTCAACAAGGGCTGTCAGGGAGGATGCTGTGACAACAGGACTCACACCCAGGAGACCGGGGTGCAGACCGGCTTTGTGGGCACCATACCGCTCAGGCCTGGCTCGCTTCCTTTTCACAACACCAATAACTCTGCCAGGAGGCCTACCACGCTCTTCGCGCCCCCCCTCATCTCCACTCTGCCCCCTGGAGCCTGGCCTGAACACCAGGCCGGTTCCACCCAGACCAACCCCAGTAACCCCACCATCACCATCAGCCACTGCTCCCCCTGCGTGGACTCCCCCGGCTTCGGCACCAAGTCCACCTCAAACTCAACGTCAACGGGCCCCGGCATCACCGCCAACCCCCCCCCTCCCAGGTTCCTCCCAGGCACCATCTGGTCATACAACCACACCCGCAAGTTCGGGCCCACGACCGAGCGGCTGACCAGCCCAGGCGTGTCCTGGGTGCACCCCGATGGAGTTGGAGTCCAGATCGACACCATCACCCCCGAGATCAGAGCCCTGTACAACGTCCTGGCCAAAGTGAAGAGGGAGAGAGACGAGTACAAACGCAGGTAAACGCCGCCGCCGCCGCTTTTTACTGTTTGTTTTACTGTGGCTCAGAGAACTGGGCTGTAATACCGCTGCGGACCAGCAGGAGCAGCATCAGCACCAACACCTCTTCATCCCTAACCCCCCTTTACCCCCCCCCCCCCACCCTGACCTGTACATCTGCCTCGTGTCCGACCTCAGAGGCAGGTGCTGCTGCTAGAAATACACCACAGCTGCGTTATGTTCCGATCATGGGGCCTGTGTCTGAAGTGGGGGGGCGGGGGTTGGGGGGGTGACGGTGGCAGAGTTGGTGGAAACATTAGGTGGAGTCTGAACAGGTTGACAGATGAGGTGGAGGGGGGTCTGTGTGGGGGGGGGGTTCAGTCTCAGCTTTTATGTTCCGATCATGGGGCCTGTGTCTGAAGTGGGGGGGCGGGGGGTGGGGGGGTAACTGAAGTCACATCTGACTTCATTCACAGCTGGTTCTCAGGACTTGAACGGTTCTTCTGTCACTAATGTCAGTAATCAGTGTTGTTGAAGTTGAAGTTTGTACTGATATAATATAATATATATATTTTTACTGGTTTGTCGTCACAAACTTTTTTTTTATTTAAATGTGTTCTTCATATATTTAGTCAAGTCAACAAAACTAAACCTCATTGGCTGAGCTGAAAAAAACACGATTTAAAAAAAAAGAAAATCATCATAACAGTAATAAGATTGTCATAATAATTAGTTCCATCCAATCGTCTCATCATTGTTTTTTTATAAACAAAATAGAAAATTTAGCTGCAATGAAATCTCCAAAAACTCCAAAACAATAACTCAGTCATCAGAGCTAATAATCAGTTCTATTTTCATGTTGTTGTTGTTGTTGTTGTTGTTGTTAAATCATTTCCCATCATCCCTCCAGAGTTTCCATAAAAACACCTGTCGTCAGATTAAACCAGACGTCTGTTTCAGAAATACTACTGTCTATAGACTTTTACTGCAGTACAGGTTGGCTTTACTTCAGTAGTTTCCTGAGAATACTCAGGATACAGGATACTGGAGTATTACGCAATACTGTAATACACATAAAACTACATGATGGTTCTATATGCTGTATTTCTATGATCATCATCATCATCATCATCATCATTATTATTGTTATTATTGTTATTAAAACCACACCCTGCTGCTGAGCACTGAACTCTGAATACTTCAAAGTACTGTGTGAATGTGTTGAAGCAGTACTGAAACTGCATTGTTTCCATCCATCTGGTGA